CGTGGGTCCCCCTTAGGTTAACTCGTTTAACCTCCTCCTACCACGAGCCACGAAGAATCGGGATCTCCCCGATCCGTGATGCGTCTCCGTTCAGATCGTCCGACTTCCTCGTATCGAGGACGCTGGTCCTGCTTGATATCCTACGGCCGCGGGCAAGTACTTACTGTCCTCCGCTGAATTGAAGTCTCGCGAGACGGCACAGGAGCAAGGGGAGTCGGACCGCCCATTTATCTATCTCGCTCCCTTGCTCTCAGGCAGTCCACATGTATATGTAACTGCCGCGACGAATAGCAAGCTAGGGATCAATGTGTGCGTGGGAATAGGTGTATCCCTTCTACTTCTCCCGCATTCCTTCCGCGAGACTTCAAGTCAGCGGATGACTGTACATCGCGATAGAAGTCGCGATAGAGTGCACGTCACGATCCAGTTACTCGACCCAGTCGTGTCCGTACCGGGAGGTCGTGGCAGATCCCGAGGCAACGTCTTTCTTTCGTGTTCTGGCCGAGTTTCGACGTCGTGGCTCGTCCGCTCGACAGATGTCGTGTCCTTTGGGCCCGACGCTCGTGTCCTACGAATTGCTTGATTTCCCTGCATCGGTGATTCCCCCGGCACGGACTCGCGCCAGCGAACGTGCCCGTTGGCCATCGAGTACCCCGGCGTCCCACGATGCAACGGATCTCGTGAAACGAGCGAATGGAATCAAATTTGTTCACGCAAGGCCTGGATACATTTGTATTTCAACATGGAGCCCGAAAGTTTCTGAGATCTCGACTAAATTCGACTGTTTTCGAATTTAAACACTGATTTTTTGACGACTCGAAAATTGAATGCACTAAAATAAGCACGAAGAAATGAATAGAGAACTCACACACACGCACACACACACACATGTGGCTGTGAATTTTATTTCGTACTATTTAATATTGAAAATTTTTGGTGCACTTACTGTAGCTTGGTTTTTGGGTTAAATTGTTTGAGGAATCCTTCAGAACTGTCTTTTGCTTACAGGGACAAAATAATGTTCATGAAGCTATACAGAATGTGAACAAAGTTGGCTTTGATGAGATGGACGATATTGATTTTCAGAAATTAGTATAACTATATAGAGGTTTGGCTATTCTTGGGTAATATTTTAGTAGGAGATTCTAGAGGCCAAAATAAGACGAAAATCAAGGATACTAATTTGTTGATTGAGGCTTCGTTAAAAAGTTATAAAAACATTTCTGGCCACACGGTATATCTTCGGTAATTAATTTTTTTCTCGAAAGTACGTAAGATTTTGGGGGTATGTCTATTAACAAAAAATGTTTGTAATTGACCCCTGTAAATGAAAATAATTTTTTTTAGAACGATTTGAAGTTTTTTAATTTCGCCGAAAAATGGTTATACTTTCTCGAATTTTTTTCTGGAGAGTGAGTAGGAATTCGGGGATATGTCTGTTCACCAAAAATGATTGTAATTTACCTCTAAAACCAAGAATAATTTTTCTAGAACGATTTAAAATTTTTTAATTTTGTCGAATAATTTCAGCCAGCTGGGGGTCGATTTTTCTTAAAAATTCGTTTTTCATTTTTAATAAATTTGTTTGACGTCCTACGGAAATTTTGTTTAGTACTTTTTTGTAGATATTCGTGAGCTCTACTCCCATACTAAATTTCATTGAGATAGATTCACTATTGTAGAAGTTATGGACGTTTGAAAATTGGACCATTTTTATAGGGTTTTTCTTACTTTACGGTGTCAAGGAATAACTTTTTCAATATTCTTAGAATTTCTACATATTCTTCACTAAAATACGCGTTGTTTGTCGTTTGAAACATTAAAATCCTCCAATCCGTTCGGAAGTTATGATATTTCAAAGATTTGCATAAAATTTCGAAGAAGCATTTTCTGGCCTCACATTAAATTTTCTGTAAGGAATTTTTTTCTCGAAAATGCGTTGAAATTCGGGGATATGTATAATGACCAAAAATACTTGTAATTGACCTCTGCAACTAAATATAATTTTTTTAGTATGATTTGAAATTTTTTTTTCCCGTCGAAAAAACTTCACACCTTCTCGAATTTTTTTCTCAATAGTTCGTAGGATTTCGAGGGTATGTCTATTCACAAAAAATGTTTGCAATAGACCCCTGTAACTGGAAATAATTTTTTTTAGACCGATTTGAAGTTTTTTAATTTCGTCGAAAAACTTCACACATTCTCGAATTTTTTTCTCAAAATTGGGTAGGATTTCGGGGGTAAGTCTATTCACCTAAAATTATTGTAATTAATGCCTCTAAATTAAAATAATTTTTTTAGAACGATTTGAAGTTTCTTAATTTCGTCGAAAAATGTCATACCTTCTAGAATTTTTTTCTCAAAAGTTCGTAGGATTTCGAGGATATGTCTATTCACCTAAAATTATTGTAATTGATGTCTCTAACTAAAAATAATTTTTTTAGAACGATTTGAAGTTTCTTTATTTCGCCGAAAAATGTCTTACCGTCTCGAATTTTTTTCTCAAAAGTCCGTACGATTTCGAGGGTATGTATATTCACCTAAAATGATTGTAATTGACCACCGCAACCAAAAATAATTTTTTCGTGATTGATTTGAAATTTTTCAATTTAATTTTTTAATAAAAAGTGACAACATTAACAACAACTCACTAATTTTATTGGACAAAATTTAACACAAACTCGATTTATTATATACTAAATATTCTTGAAATAAACTTAATAAAAACTTAATAAAAACAATTTCTATAAATTTTATTAAACCAGACTCAACTATTTTCTGAAGCGTATTTTCAAATAAAATGTTACGTAGCTGTGAACAAAGCACGTCTTCTTTATATTTCGTGTAAAATATAAGTTTGAGGTTTGAACTTTAAGTATCACGCGAAACAAAGCGGTTAAGTAGACTTGTAACAATGAAAAATAGTAAGAAATACACGGAGGACAGTTTTCGACGAAACAAAAGTATTGGCACTGGGTTAGGTCTGGGTTAGGTCTGGGTTAGGTCTGGAATAAGTCTGAATTAAGTATGGGTTAGGTCTGGGTTAGGTCAGGATTAAGTCTGGGTTAGGTCTGGGTTAGGTCTGGATTAAGTCTGGGTTAGGTCTGGTTAGGTCTGGATTAAGTCTGGGTTAGGTCTGGATTAAGTCTGGGTTAGGTCTGGGTTAGGTCTGGGTTAGGTCTGGGTTAGGTCTGGATTAAGTCTGGGTTAGGTCTGGGTTAGGTCTGGATTAAGTCTGGGTTAGGTCTGGGTTAGGTCTGGATTAAGTCTGGGTTAGGTCTGGGTTAGGTCTGGATTAAGTCTGGGTTAGGTCTGGGTTAGGTCTGGATTAAGTCTGGGTTAGGTCTGAGTTAGATCTGAGTTAGGTCTGGGTTAGGTCTGGGTTAGGTCTGAATTAAGTCTGGGTTAGGTTTGGATTAAGTTTGGGTTAGGCCTGGATTAAGTCTGGGTTAGGTCTGGGTTAGGTCTGAGTTAGATCCAGACCTAACCCAGACTTAATCTAGATCTAACGCAGACCTAACCCAGACATAATCCAGACCTAATCCAGACCTAACCCAGACTTAATCCAGACCTAACCCAGACCTAACCCAGACTTAATCCAGACCTAACCCAGACCTAACCCAGACTTAATCCAGACCTAACCCAGACCTAACCCAGACCTCACCTAGATCTAACTCAGACCTAACCCAGATCTAACTCAGACCTAACCCAGACCTAACCCAGACCTAACCCAACCTAATAAACCTGGGTTAGGTCTGGGTCAGGTCTGGATTAAGTCTGAGTTAGGTCTGGGTTAGGTCTGGATTAAGTCTCTGTTAGGTCTTGGTTAGGTCTGGGTTAGGTCTGGGTTATTTTGTTCTTTTATATACATATGTAAAAGAATAAAATAGATGCTTTCTCGGTAGAAATCTTCTGGATACAGGACATAAATAATTTCTGTGTTCTCCATTCCAACGCGATTAAATAGATGAACTTATTAATTTAAAACAAAGAAAAGCCAGGTGTCAGATAGTAAAAAGTGATTCAACGACGTAAGTAGGAGTTATGATACATTTATTAGAAACACGTATGGTGAGTGACTCACAAAAGTATTCGAACGCTACATGTATTATTAAATTATTTAATATTAATATTTTGTTGGACCACCTTTAGCACCTATAATGTCTCCTGGCCGACGTTCCATACTATAAATCAATGATTTTGTAAAACTACACTCAATGGAGAGTTCCATATTTCTATAATTTTATTTTTCAGTGTTTGCTTCGATGTTATTTGAAATTTATTTAATCTTTCTCCGATTTCAGCCCATAAATTTTACGTCTGGACTTTGCGGTGGAATAATTAACATGCGTGGTGTGTTATATACGATCCATTCTTTTACAATTCCAGCAGTATGCCTCGGGATCATTATCTTGTTGGAAGTGGAAATCTGCCAATAATCCTAATTCTAGTTTACTGGCACTTTCTTTAAGATTATTCTTTAAAATATTTAAATACTTGTATTTATCAAGTATTCCGTCAATAAATATTAAATTCCCGGTGCCACTGGCGGCCATACACCCCCATACTATCACCGACCCACCTTCGTGTTTCATTGTTTCATGTAAATGTCCAATTTCCAATTCTGTATTTGGTTTTCTCCACACAGTACGTGTCGAAGAATGATTACAATGTAACGAGAGTGAATCATAGTGCCGCGTGTAAAAGACATGCTCTCGTTTTCGTGTGCCTTCGTTCCGCGAACGTTCGGCGCCATTGTTGACACAGCTGGCCCGACCGTTACGTTAACGGACAACGTGGACGAGATTATCGTCGAATTATCGTTTGTCTTTCTTTTCTGTTAAATATATTCGTTCGTTAAAATACCAACGGGTTTTTGTCAGTCCTTGATCTAAATACAAAATAGAAGGATTTCGTACCAGGGTGGGAAATACAGGCGAGAGTAATCTGTTGCTAGTAAATATATAATATATATTATATTTCCATAATATATCGGTACATGTACATCCACCTTCCTATACGATACGATAACATCCATTATTGTATTTGAAATGTATAATTAGTATGCATAGACGTAGGTAAGTACGTTTAAAATTCAATAGGAGAGATTTTCATCATTTGTGCCTCGCAATTTCAATCGATCTACGTTATCAGGCATGATCCTCTTCGATAGCGACTATAAAAGCAACACACTGTCGTCTGATTGGATAAAGTGGCTAGAAGAAACGCCAATCAGAGGACAGAGTATCCAAAAATTTCTCTCGTCTCTCAAAACTCGTCTCAAGCTTCCAATTTCTGCTAAATCGAAGAAGATCACGGACCAAAAACACCAATCTCCACGCTTTCTTCCTATTTTACACAATTTCACACAGGTTCCAAATTACGTAGAAAATGTCTCTAACAGAAATAGAAATCGGAACTCAATCGTCTAAACAAATTGCATGCTTTTCGAATTCTCGCGCCATTTTTACGAAACGAATAACTTTGTCGCAATTCAAACTTCACTTATCGTAAAATGCTTAAAGTAATTCGCTCATTGTCGTTAGATCGGTTTACTCGAGCCTAGAATTCGTAATTCGTAATTCGTAATTAACAGCAGTCTCGTTTCTTTCCACGAAATAAAAATTATCAAGCGTCGAAGACAGTAAAAACGCGCCATTTTCCTTTCGTCCGCGCCTCGATGGGGTTTCTTTATTCACAGAGTTGCGCAAGGCCTCGAAGTACAGATTAATTCGTAGCAAACTGCAACTGGTAACGATCGTACAGGACTAACGTATGTAAAATAAGAGGGATCAAGATCGATGGAAGTCTCATTGTTCCATAACGTGGATTTGAAGAAAATAAGGGAATAAAAGGTACAGGGAACAGAATAGAGAGATTCACTGGATTTGGATGGGAAACGAAGGCAATAATGGAGAACAAAAAGTCGTCGACTTTTAAATGAATCGTGCAGTAAATTCGTAGAAAAGTGCGCCATCTGTGAGGCTCATTTCGGGTGTTCCCAGCTAACAAATCTCTCGCTGGATGAGCTGAGGATCGCGTAAATAGAAAACTAAGCACGTTTGCTAGCTAACTATGATTCTAGTAAGGACGTTCGAGGTCCCAAAGTGGCGCTAGTGAAGCTAAAACGAGATCTCGACGATCGACGATCCGACGATCGTCCTTGAAGCGGTGAGGCGAAACGTTTGGTAGGAAAAATGAAAGAAAAACGAAATTATAGGAATTGTGCATCGGAGTGAGCGGCCTGGAAGACATTTTAGCCCCATTTCTGGAAGAACCCCACTCGCTGGCAGCGGCAATTGGTGCCCCACAGATTGCATCTGCAGCTGGAGCTGTTGCAACAGTCGTTGGGCCTGTGGTCGCAGTTGCCTCCACGTTTCACGCACGCCCGCCTAAACAGGTAGATCAACGAGGTACGTCTACTCGAGATTAGGGGAATCTAAACAATGCCTTGCAGGAGACATAGAGGCATCAAAAGTTTGGAACAGGATGAGGAGGATGATCTCCAAACGAATGAAACTATTTCTAGCAATTGTAAACGCTTTAAGTACTTATTTAGTCTAAATTTTAACCCTCTATCTTGTTTGGAAGGGTAGTTATTGAGAAAATTCGGATTAACGAGTTTGTGCCTATTTCCCCTATTTAATCGAGTAGAAAAATTATGAAAAAAATCTGGTGCATTGTGGTTATTGAGATACGTGTTTGAGAATTTTTTCCGATTTTTCGATTCCAAATCCTAGGTGTGAAAAATTGAAAACGCAAAAAAACACAGAAAAATACGGATTTCGTATTGAAGCTTTCGAGACCCTCGATTTCTATAATTACTGTAAATGCGTATTGTCATTGGCTATCTCCCTGAATTTTTTCCGATTTTTCGATTCCAAATCCTGGGCGTGAAAAATTAAAAACGCAGAAAAATACCGATTTCGTATTGAAGCTTTCGAGACACTAGATTTCTATAATTACTGTAAATGCGTATTGTCATTGGCTATCTCCCTGAATTTTTTCAGATTTTTCGATTCCAAATCCTGGGCGTGAAAAATTAAAAACGCAGAAAAATACCGATTTCGTATCGAAGCTTTCGAGACCCTAGATTTCTATAATTACTGTAAATGCGTATTGTCATTGGCTATCTCCCTGAATTTTTTCAGATTTTTTGATTCCAAATCCTGGGCGTGAAAAATTAAAAACGCAGAAAAATACCGATTTCGTATTGAAGCTTTCGAGACACTAGATTTCTATAATTACTGTAAATGCGTATTGTCATTGGCTATCTCCCTGAATTTTTTCAGATTTTTTGATTCCAAATCCTGGGCGTGAAAAATTAAAAACGCAGAAAAATACCGATTTCGTATTGAAGCTTTCGAGACACTAGATTTCTATAATTACTGTAAATGCGTATTGTCATTGGCTATCTCCCTGAATTTTTTCAGATTTTTCGATTCCAAATCCTGGGCGTGAAAAATTAAAAACGCAGAAAAATACCGATTTCGTATTGAAGCTTTCGAGACCCTAGATTTCTATAATTACTGTAAATGCGTATTGTCATTGGCTATCTCCCTGAATTTTTTCCGATTTTTCGATTCCAAATCCTGGGCGTGAAAAATTAAAAACGCAGAAAAATACCGATTTCGTATTGAAGCTTTCGAGACACTAGATTTCTATAATTACTGTAAATGCGTATTGTCATTGGCTATCTCCCTGAATTTTTTCAGATTTTTCGATTCCAAATCCTGGGCGTGAAAAATTAAAAACGCAGAGAAATACCGATTTCGTATTGAAGCTTTCGAGACGCTAGATTTATATAATTACTGTAAATGCGTATTGTCATTGGCTATCTCCCTGAATTTTTTCAGATTTTTCGATTCCAAATCCTGGGCGTGAAAAATTAAAAACGCAGAAAAATACCGATTTCGTATTGAAGCTTTCGAGACCCTAGATTTCTATAATTACTGTAAATGCGTATTGTCATTGGCTATCTCCCTGAATTTTTTCCGATTTTTCGATTCCAAATCCTGGGCGTGAAAAATTAAAAACGCAGAAAAATACCGATTTCGTATTGAAGCTTTCGAGACACTAGATTTCTATAATTACTGTAAATGCGTATTGTCATTGGCTATCTTCCTGAATTTTTTCAGATTTTTCGATTCCAAATCCTGGGCGTGAAAAATTAAAAACGCAGAAAAATACCGATTTCGTATCGAAGCTTTCGAGACCCTAGATTTCTATAATTACTGTAAATGCGTATTGTCATTGGCTATCTCCCTGAATTTTTTCAGATTTTTTGATTCCAAATCCTAGGCGTGAAAAATTAAAAACGCAGAAAAATACCGATTTCGTATGGAAGCTTTCGAGACACTAGATTTCTATAATTACTGTAAATGCGTATTGTCATTGGCTATCTCCCTGAATTTTTTCAGATTTTTTGATTCCAAATCCTAGGCGTGAAAAATTAAAAACGCAGAAAAATACCGATTTCGTATCGAAGCTTTCGAGACACTAGATTTCTATAATTACTGTAAATGCGTATTGTCATTGGCTATCTCCCTGAATTTTTTCAGATTTTTCGATTCCAAATCCTGGGCGTGAAAAATTAAAAACGCAGAAAAATACCGATTTCGTATCGAAGCTTTCGAGACCCTAGATTTCTATAATTACTGTAAATGCGTATTGTCATTGGCTATCTCCCTGAATTTTTTCAGATTTTTCGATTCCAAATCCTGGGCGTGAAAAATTAAAAACGCAGAAAAATACCGATTTCGTATTGAAGCTTTCGAGACACTAGATTTCTATAATTACTGTAAATGCGTATTGTCATTGGCTATCTCCCTGAATTTTTTCAGATTTTTTGATTCCAAATCCTGGGCGTGAAAAATTAAAAACGCAGAGAAATACCGATTTCGTATTGAAGCTTTCGAGACCCTAGATTTCTATAATTACTGTAAATGCGTATTGTCATTGGTTATGTCCCTGAATTTTTTCCGATTTTTTGGTATGGTGCGCCGTAGTAGCAAAAATCAAAAACCGATTTTTTCGACGTTTTTCGCGTGAAAAAGCATCCTATACTTTGAATTTTTGTATTCTCTTTAATAGATAACTATATTGTATGGTTTTAAACATTTATAATTATATTTCTAATTATACTTCAAAGTATAAGATGCTTTTTCACGCGAAAAACGTCGAAAAAATCGGTTTTTGATTTTTCCTACTACGGCGCACCCTACCAAAAAATCGGAAAAAATTCAGGGAGATAGCCAATGACAATACGCATTTACAGTAATTATAGAAATCTAGTGTCTCGAAAGCTTCAATACGAAATCCGTATTTTTCTGTGTTTTTTTGCGTTTTCAATTTTTCACGCCTAGGATTTGGAATCGAAAAATCGGAAAAAATTCTCAAACACGTATCTCAATAACCACAATGCACCAGATTTTTTTCATAATTTTTCGTACTCGATTAAATAGGGGAAATAGGCAGAAATTCGTTAATCCGAATTTTCGCAATAACTACCCTTCCAAACAAGATAGAGGGTTAAAATTTGGTACAGTACGTTTTTTCTTGATGCTCTATCGATGGATCCATCGTATGTCCCCTTTCTATGATTTGTGAGGATAATTACAGTTTTGGAACACTAAAATGTGCAGAGCAGTCTGTGAAGGTTTTTAATTCTCAAAAGAAACTACAAAATGGACTTAACGTGTAAAAATATAAGAAAAACTTGAAGCAAGATAAAAATTATATTTGGGGATTGCGACAGTACTCTACGAAGCTTCCATTTAATTCATTTTATTAATAAAAATTTGCAGAAAAATCCTCAGTCTAGTACGGAGTGAATCATGGATCGTTATTAATTTAAATTACTCGAGTGTTTGAATAAACTATGGTTCGAGGAGTGTTTTAAAGTGATTACTGCTTTTATTTTTTGTCGCAAGATTGTTAAACCTTCAATGTGCATGGTGAATGTATCAATAAATAAGAAATTCAAGAAATAGAGTTAGTTACAAATCATTAGGGAAGAAGGAAGCACATTTTGTCAGGAAGAAAGGACAACGATGGTTGATATGATGATAAATACTCACTTTTGTTGAGCTGCTCGCATCAGGTTCTCCAACGCGTTGTCTGCATAGTCTGAATCTGCTGCAATCTGCGCTGCATCGTCTTCTGCAACAAAGAAATACGTAACAGAACAAAGTAAATTGGAAATATTTCCTTGTATCATCGATTAACAACATTGACTGCCATATCTAACCCCTAAAATTGTCCAGGGAAACGAAACTTTGTTGTCGGACAACTTGGAAACTAGCGCACCCCCCATCATTTGTTATCGAATTTAGTTTTACAGACTAAAATTCAAGACTTCTATCTAGATTTAGTTTCTTTGATATGTAATCATGAGAATTAATTGTTTTAGCTGCTTAGTGAGAGATCATGTCATCCATATATGGGTATATGTTTTTTCATTCTTCAGTTCAGTGTTTCTTATGAATTTTTCTATTTATTTTTACCAAATGTTCTGTTTTATATTACACTGTGTTATTTTTCTCTATTTACGAAGTGTAGCTTGTTTTTGCTCTTTTTTTAATAGTAAGTAATTAGAAAACTGATAGAGAGGTATAGATAATGCAAATAGTATACAAAGAAATCAACAATACGTGGAGTTTTCCCCAAACGGTCACCCATCCTAGCGCTGACCGCGACCAATGCAGCTTAACGTCGATGATCGGAGGAGAAGCGATGTTTTCAACGTGACACAACCCTTGACAAGTTTCTTTTTTCAATTTATTCTTAATCTTGTGTCTCAATGTACAACAAAATGGACGTATACCAGTTTTAAGAGCAATTCGTAAGAAACAAGAATCAACAGACAAGCGTTGATTGTGTTTTTCTTGTGGAAAGTTTTCGTTCCTGTCTCTTGAAACTGTGTTGTGTATCTGTATTTGAATTTTTATTATTATTTTGTTATTTCGTGTTACAGTTACTTCGTATTTGTACACTAGAATATAGTGATTCACTTATACACGAACATAGAGTTGTGTTTCTTATGAATTTTTCTATTTATTTCTACCAAATGTTCTGTTTTATATTACACTGTGTTATTTTTCTCTATTTACGAAGTGTAGCTTGTTTTTGCTCTTTTTTTAATAGTAAGTAATTAGAAAACTGATAGAGAGGTATAGATAATGCAAATAGTATACAAAGAAATCAACAATACGTGGAGTTTTCCCCAAACGGTCACCCATCCTAGCACTGACCGCGACCAATGCAGCTTAACGTCGATGATCGGAGGAGAAGCGATGTTTTCAACGTGACACAACCCTTGACAAGTTTCTTTTTTCAATTTATTCTTAATCTTGTGTCTCAATGTGTAACAAAATGGACGTATACCAGTTTTAAGTGCAATTGATAATAAAAAAAGCTTCTCATCATTTATAATAAACTATTATTAAATTGTACAAACACGAGTGGGAGTAATTGTATGCAATTCTTGAGATACTTTACGTATTTTCTAGTATAGTTTGTGCTATTAATAATAACTAGACATACAAATTCATATTTTAGTTTCTTTGAACGTTTCTTTTTTTATTGATAAAATTAATGAAATTAGAGCTTTGTAGGGGGTTGTCTTAACCCCTAGATATAATAATTCGTACCTTGTTTTAAGTATTGATTATATTCTTGCATATTAACAGAATTTTGTAGTTTTTTTTCAAATTAAATGCATAAATATCCACAGTTTAGTAATAATCATTCAAATTTGCCCCAAAAAAGTCTGACTTCAACGTACAAATGAAACCACATATTTTTCAGTGTTTGTTGAATTTGAATTTAATCTGATTATTCATCAATTCTGTTCAGATTTTAATTTGAATTTTTTATTCCATTGTTTTGTGAATTATACCATGCCCCACACGAGTGGTGAATTGAATAAAAATTGTTACATTGAGTATTCATGAAATTTAGTGATTTACATCGAGAAAACTTTGCTTGAAAATGTTAAATTGCACAAAGAGCATCGTTTGATGTATTTCCAATAAAACGAAACAAAAACAACAATGCTATTAAAGCAGTCTTATGAAAAGAGTCCAATTCATTGGAACTGTAACTCGAGAAATTGATACCCATTGTCTGCTGATTTCTATGTATTGAAAATGAAAGAAGTGCGAAGCAGTGAATAGTTTATTTGTCGATTAACATTCAGAATTGATGAAGCTTCCGTTGTTAAACTAGGAAAACGAGAAATTTGCCAAGAATGTTTCTCACAGAATGTACAGAGAATAATCGAAATAATAAAATTGAATGTTCGAAACTGTTAAAGTTTAAATTTACAGAAATAATTTAAGTTGAAATTTAATATTGATATATGTAATTTTTAATGATTTTTTAAATACATTTATTTTGCAAATATGGGGCGTATTTTTTATCAAAATTATGTTTGAATCGCCCCTTTGTCTGAGTTTATGAGAAAAGAGAACCATTTTTTAAATATTTTAGTGTATTTTAATTATTATTTATTTACTCGATTATTTTAATTTTATTTAGCTTTCAAAGGAACTCTTAACTTGAAAAATTATAAACTGTTCGAGAAATCCTTGAGAAGAATTTCAAAATCCATTTCCCGCCTTTTTCGTCAAGGTTGGATATCATCAGTTTTCATGATAACCATAAATTACCATAGCGTGAACTTTCGTTTCCTATTAAACGTTGCGAACAAATATTAACACGGGGCTGGAAAAGCCTGAGAAACAGCAATGGCGACGAGAAAATCAATTTTGTGTGGTTTAGATTTAACAGTATGAATATATGTACACTCGAAATCCATAAGTATACATGAAAATCAGAAGATCCGCCATTCCTTAGATAATGAATTAAAAACAGAAATTAATTGGCTCTCGCGAGCAAAATTGAAAACTTTAATTTAATTATTCCAGACCTAACCCTATATTCCAAGAAAATTCTGTCTCGAGAGGCAACGAAGTATTTGCATAAATTCTCTGGCGAAGAAATTTATTTAATTGTAAATAAAAATACTCCGAAACGACACTTCTAATTGCCACCCTTAACCCCTTAACGTTCATGCCCGAGACTGACTGCTTTGAAAAACAATATTTGTTTAATCCAACGGTTTAAGGGATGATAATATTTGCTTTCCTTCAAATTATACGTTAGATACAACATTGTAATTAACGAAAACCGTATTTTTAGAAACAAATCTAATAAAGAAAACTGATCATTGTTGGTTAACCCGAAGAATATGAACGTTAAGGGGTTAAACAACGCGAAACAAAAGCTTCCTCGAAAGATTCCATTACAAACAGAAAGAAACTTTCGACAGAAGCTTGAAATTCTCGGAATTTCGTGGAACGAGCAACGAGAAATGAATTATTTCGTTAACGTAACGGGTATTTCTGGTTATTTCGCGATGTAAATCAATGTTAAAGGACACTTTGACTTAATTCAGACTTATTCCAGACCTAACCCAGACTTAATTTGGTTAGGTCTGGGTTAGGTCTGGATTAGGTCTGGATTAAGTCTGGGTTAGGTCTGGGTTAGGTCTGGATTAAGTCTGGGTTAGGTCTGGGTTAGGTCTGGATTAAGTCTGGGTTAGGTCTGGGTTAGGTCTGGATTAAATCTGGGTTAGGTCTGGGTTAGGTCTGGATTAAGTCTGGGTTAGGTCTGGGTTAGGTCTGGATTAAGTCTGGGTTAGGTCTGGGTTAGGTCTGGATTAAATCTGGGTTAGGTCTGGGTTAGGTCTGGATTAAGTCTGGGTTAGGTCTGGGTTAGGTCTGGATTAAGTCTGGGTTAGGTCTGGGTTAGGTCTGGATTAAGTCTGGGTTAGGTCTGGGTTAGGTCTGGATTTAGTCTGGGTTAGGTCTGGTTTAGGTCTGAATTAAGTCTGGGTTAGGTCTGGGTTAGGTCTGGATTAAGTCTGGGTTAGGTCTGGGTTAGGTCTGAATTAAGTCTGGGTTAGGTCTGGGTTAGGTCTGGAATAAGTCTGAATTAAGTCTAGGTTAGGTATGGTCTTAAAGTCTAGGTTAGGATTTAATTCAGACTTATTCCAGACCTAACCCAGACTTAATTCAGACTTATTCCAGACCTAACCCAGACTTAATTCAGACCTAACCCAGACCTAACCCAGACTTAATTCAAACCTAACCCAGACCTAACCCAGACCTAACCCAGACTTAATTCAGACTTATTCCAGACCTAACCCAGACTTAATTCAGACCTAACCCAGACCTAACCCAGACTTAATTGAAACCTAACCCAGACCTAACCCAGACCTAACCCAGACCTAACACAGACCTAACCCAGACTTAATTCAGACCTAACCCAGACCTAACCCAGACCTAACCCAGACTTAATCCAGACCTAACCCAGACCTAACCCAGACCTAACCCATACTTAATCCAGACCTAACCCAGACCTAACCCAGACTTAATTCAGACCTAACCCAGACCTAACCCAGACTTAATCCAGACCTAACCCAGACCTAACCCAGACCTAATCCAGACCTAACCCAGACCTAACCCAGACTTAATCCAGACCTAACCCAGACTTAATTCAAACCTAACCCAGACCTAACCCAGACCTAGTCCAGACCTAATCCAGACCTAACCCGGACTTAATCCAGACCTAACCCAGACCTAACCCAGACTTAATTCAGACTTATTCCAGATCTAACCCAGACTTAATTCAGACTTATTCCAGACCTAACCCTATATTTCAAGAAAATTCTGCTTCGAGAGACAACGAAGTATTTGCATAAATTCTCTCCACGAAGAAATTGATTTAATTGTAAATAAAAATACTTCGGAAACGATATTTCTAATTGCCACCCTTAAGAAACGCGAAATAAAAGCTTCTTGGAAAGATTCCATTTGCAAACAGAAAGAAACTTTCGACGTAGTTTTGAAATTCTCGGAATTTCGTGGAACGAACAGCGAGAAATGAATTATTTCGTTAACGTAACGGGTATTTCTGGTTATTTCGCGATGTAAATCAGCGTTAAAGGACACTTTGACGCATAAATTTCGCGTACGCGTTAATACGAATGTCGCGATATCTCATTATTTCGTTCACAGTCACGTGTACAACACCAGTGGGTCGAAACCACTTCGTTACCGTAATATTCCAGGAATAACAATCATAATAATTTGATC